GGATCCAGCCATAATCCACAGCCTTTTGGGGGAGAGAGTTCCAGAATTCCACTGCCCTCTGTGTGAAAAAATGCTTCCTGATTGCACTCCTAAATGGCCAAGCTCTAATTTTAAGATGATGCCCCTTGTTCTGGATTCCCCAACCAGAGGAAACAGTATCTCTGTCGTTGTCCTGTCACGTGCCTTTATTATTTTAAAAACCTCAATCAGATCACCCATGAACCTTTGAATCTTAGCATTTCTTTTTGCAAGTGAACCCAATCTGCGGCTTCTTTCCCAGCAACGTATAACAGTCTGATTTGGGTTCTTTCAGATCGAGAAAGGACTGAGCAATTTGGTTCGGAGTTTGCTTAGTGCAAAAAGTGTGTACATCAGGATTAGTTCTATAACTGAAGGAAGTGTGGTGGTGCATTTTAGCATTGTGGCAAATGAAGATGTAAATGTCACTGACAGCGAAATTAAGGAAACATTCATGGATGCATTAAACAAGAGTACAGTGTTAGATTTCGACTTGACAAACACCAGCATATCAGGTAAGTGTAGTAGGTAGGTTCAGCGCTCCGAAACTCTACCCTACTGTTGTTATAGCTAAGAAGCATGACCACATGTCTTAGAGGCTTGACACTTAGGGGATAAAATACCCCAAAATGGGGGTGAGCATCATTCCATTACTCGCGGTGCTGTCTTCCATCCTTCCTTCTTTCCTTTGTTCCTATCTCCCTCCCTCTCTTCTTTCTTGGGAGGTATGAGGCAGAGGGATTTGAGACCATTTTCTGGTGAGAATCTCATCACTCTGTCTGTGAATTTTACATTACAGAAAGAGACAGCTGCACAACGGGGACCAATGACTGCTCAGGTAACGCAACATGTATAAGACAGAATTCAACTTACACCTGCAAGTGCAAGGCTGGATTTAATGACACAAGCCCCAACTTCCCGGGAAGAATGTGTGAAGGTACAGTACATCTTGTGAAGCGCTTTGAGACATAATCCTTTGAGACATAATGTTTCATTATATCAATATATTTCAGAGGAAAACTGTTGTAAAAAAGGAGAGGGGGAGGAGCGGGTTATTAACTCTGCAAGCCAACACCTTGACGGGTAGGGTGGTCCTAGCTGGACAAGAGTGGGAAAGCTTATCAGACACTGATATCAATGGCAAACTATGTGGCTTTAGCTGATCAGACTCCAGCTGTAGAGTAAATACTCTTGCGTCCCCAAACCTTGGCTCTTACCAATCTGCGTCTAATAATTTCTGGAATTAGATGAGTAGAATATGTCTCTCCAGGGTGAGAGTTCGCATTGCATTCCAATAATCTATCTCTGGGATTTTCATGTATAGTTTCATGTATATACTGCTACATCAAGTCTGTCATTCTCCAGTCCACTTTCAACCACACACTCAGTAACCACCGGCCAAACATGGGCATTCACGTCTTGAACTAGTTGCTTACCTTGTACTTCAACCACAAAGTGAATACTTTCCATGTCAACAGAGGGCAGTACATCTGCCTCAGTACATCTAACTCAGTATCTTCAACATCCTCAGAAACACCCAAACCTGTCCCTTCATCTACTGCCCTAACCTCAGGTACTTCCTGAATAGTTTATTCACCCACCTGCCAAACACTGCCATCTGCATTAACAGAAAGCACAACCTTATTCGTATTGATACCAGGAAAATGTAGTTCAACGTCAACTCTGTTGTCAGGTAGCTCAGTGTCAGTAACAGTATTGGCATCAGCTAGTCCAATATTTCCACACCTGGAGCTTTAAGCTCTTCCCAAACATAGACATGTGAAACAACAGAAAGTTTCACTTTATCACCATCTACAACAGAAATTGCTTATACATTATCTACAGAAGCCAGTACTGCTACATCAAGTCTGTCATTCTCCAGCCCACTTTCAACCACACACTCAGTAACTACCGGCCAAAGATGGCCAGTCACATCTCTTATTCCTTGCTTACCTTGTACTTCTACACAAGTGAATACTTTTCATGTCAACAGAGGGCAGTGCATCTGTGGGAAGTACCAGTCCATCAGCATCAGTCACAGTAGCAGCCAATACTTCTCCATCAACTGATACAACATCTAACTCGGTATCTGCAGCACTCTCAACTTTCGGCGAAACAGTGACATCAACAGAGAGTGTTTCATCAGCATCATCTACAGCAAATGAAGTTACATCTACTGGATCAACATCTCACTCAGTATCTCCAACATCTTCAGAAACAGCCACAACTGTTTTTTCATCTACTGCCCTGATCCCAGGTATGTAGCAGAATGTAGCACGTTATCACCGTCTACAACAAACATTTCTTGTACGTTATCTACAGAAGCGAGTACCGCAACATGAAGTGTGTCATTCTATAGCTCACTTTCAACCACACACTCAGTAACAATGCCAATCACATCTCTTACTGATTGCATAGCTAATATTTCAAAACAATGTGATTCTTCCTTCCCATCAACAGAGAGAAGTACATCTGTGGAAAGTACCACCACATTAGCATCTTCTGCAGAGACATCAACACAGAATGCTCCCTCATCACCATCTACAGCAAATGAGAATATATTGACTGGGTCAGCAACCAACTCAATATCTTCAGCACTCTCAACCACCAGCCAAACAGTAACATCAACAGTGACTGATTCTTCATCACCAGCTACAACAAATCAAGGTAAGGGGCTACTGGGTCAACATCTCACTCAGTATCTTCAACATCCTCAGAAACACCCAAACTAGTATCTTTATCTACCTCCCTGTCCTCAGATAGTTGCTGAATCGTTTATTCACCAACCTGCCAACACTATGAACTACAATAACAGAAAGCACTAAATATATTAGATATATTAAGTTCTATTTCTTCATCTAAATCATTGATATAAACCACAAATAATAGAGGCCCAAGCACTGATCTTTGTGGGCACTCCACTAGTCACATCCTGCCAATCTGAGAATGACCCCCGTTTATTCCTACTCACTGTTTATTCCTGTTAGCCACTCTCCAATCCGTGCTAATAAATTGCCTTTAATTTCATGGGCTCCAATCTTATGCAACAGCCTTTTATTTGCACCTTGTCGAATGCCTTCTGGAAATCCAAATACACCACATCTACTGGTTCCCCCCATCTAACCTGCTAGTTACATCCACACAAAACTCTATTAGATTTGTTAAACATGATTTCCCTTTCGTAAAGCCATGTTGACTCTGCCTAATCATGTTATGATTTTCTGAGTATCCCACGTCGATGTCCCTAATTAAGGACTCTAGAATTTTCCCTACCACCGATGTCAGACTAACTGGTCCATAGTTTTCCATTTTTGTCTCCCACCCTTCTAAAATATCAGCGTTACGTTTGCAAACTTCCAATCACAAGGAACCATTCCAGAATCCAGGGAATTTTGGAAGATCAAAAACAAAGCATCCACTATATCTGTAGCCACCGCTTTTAAAAACCTCGGATGTCGGTCATCAGGTCCAGGAGATTTATCGTTTTTTAATCCTTTCAATTTCTCTGGTACTATTGCTTTACTGATGTTCATTTCTTTAAGTTCCTCACTAACATAAGCCTCCAGGCTCCCCTCTATGTTTGGTAAGTTTTCAGTGTTCTCTAACGTGAAGACAGAAGCAAAATAATTGTTTAATGACTCTGCCATTTCTTTATTCCCCGTATGTAATTTCTCCTGTCTCTGCCTGGAATGGACCCACATTCACTTTTGATAATCTCTTTATGTATTTGTAAGAACTGTTACAATCTGTCTTGATGTTCCTAGCTAGTTTACTCTCATATTCCATTTTCTCCCTCTAAATCAGTTTCTTGGTTTTCCTTTGCTGATCTCTAAAGCCCTCCCAATCCTCAGGTTTACAGCTCTTTGTGGCAGTATTATAGGTCTCTTCTTTTAATTTCATACTTTTCCTAACTTCTCTAGTTCGCCAAGGTTGAACCACTTTTCCCGTGATATTTTTATTTTTCAAGGGAATATATGATCGCTGGGAATTATGTATCATATCTTTAAACTTTTGCCAATGCTGGTCTACCGTCATATTTTTAAATCTAATTTCCCAGTCTGTTTTAGCCAAATCTTCTTTCATACCTGCAAAGTTGGCTTTATTTGGATTTAAGACCCTTGCTTTGGATTCAACTATATCACTTTCTAACTTAATCTTAAACTCCATCATGTTATGGTCACTTTGCCCTCGAGGAGCCTTGAGTTCCAGATTGCTGATTAGCCCTATTTAATTACAGATCTAGGATAGCTTGTTCCCAGGTTGGGTCCTCAGCATACTGTTCTAGAAAAGTAACTCAGATACATTCTATAAAACTCTAATTTTCCTTTGCCAATTTGGTATTCCCAGTCTATATGAAGTTTGAAATCATCCACTCTTAGTGTATTCCCTTTGATACATGCTCCTCTAATTTTCTGATTATTACCCTGCCCAGTACTGTAACTGCTGTTTGAGGGTCTATAAACTACTCCCACTTGTGTTTTCTGCCCCTTGTTGTTTCACGATATCAATATATTTCAGAGGAAAACTGTGTAAAAAAGGAGAGAGGGAGGAGCGGGTTATTAACTCTGCAAGCCAACACCTTGACGGGTAGGGTGGTCCTAGCTGGACAAGAGTGGGAAAGCTTATCAGACACTGATATCAATGGCAAACTATGTGGCTTTAGCTGATCAGACTCCAGCTGTAGAGTAAATACTCTTGCGTCCCCAAACCTTGGCTCTTACCAATCTGCGTCTAATAATTTCTGGAATTAGATGAGTAGGATGTGTCTCTCCAGGGAGAGAGTGCGCATTGCATTCCAATAATCTATCTCTGGGATTTTCATGTACAGTTTCATTTATATACTGCTACATCAAGTCTGTCATTCTCCAGTCCACTTTCAACCACACAGTCAGTAACCACCGGCCAAACATGGGGAGTCACATCTTGTACTACTTGCTTACCTTGTACTTCAACCACAAAGTGAATACTTTCCATGTCAACAGAGGGCAGTACATCTGTGTCAAGTACCAGTACATCAGCATCAGCCTCAGTAGCAGCCAATACTTCTCCATCAACTGATACAACATCTAATTCAGTATCTACAGTACTCTCAACTTTCAACGAAACAGTGACATCAACAGAGAGTGTTTCATCAGCATCATCTACAGCAAATGAAGTTACATCTACTGGATCAACATCTCACTCAGTATCTCCAACATCTTCAGAAACAGCCACAACTGTTTTTTCATCTACTGCCCTGATCCCAGGTATGTAGCAGAATGTAGCACTTTATCACCGTCTACAACAAACATTGCTTGTACGTTATCTACAGAAGCGAGTACGGCTACATGAAGTGTGTCATTCTACAGACCAATTTCAACCACACACTCAGTAACAATGCCAATCACATCTCTTACTGATTGCACAGCTAATATTTCAAAACAAAGTGATTTTTCCTTCCCATCAACAGAGAGAAGTACATCTGTGGAAAGTACCACCACATTAGCATCTTCTGCAGAGACATCAACACAGAATGCTCACTCATCACCATCTACAGCAAATGAGAATATATTGACTGGGTCAACAACCAACTCAATATCTTCAGCACTCTCAACCACCAGCCAAACAGTAACATCAACAGTGACTGATTCTTCATCACCAGCTACAACAAATCAAGGTAAGGGGCTACTGGGTCAACATCTAACTCAGTATCTTCAACATCCTCAGAAACACCCAAACCTGTCCCTTCATCTACTGCCCTAACCTCAGGTACTTCCTGAATAGTTTATTCACCCACCTGCCAAACACTGCCATCTGCATTAACAGAAAGCACAACCTTATTCGTATTGATACCAGGAAAATGTAGTTCAACGTCAACTCTGTTGTCAGGTAGCTCAGTGTCAGTAACAGTATTGGCATCAGCTAGTCCAATATTTCCACACCTGGAGCTTTAAGCTCTTCCCAAACATAGACATGTGAAACAACAGAAAGTTGCACTTTATCACCATCTACAACAGAAATTGCTTATACATTATCTACAGAAGCCAGTACTGCTACATCAAGTCTGTCATTCTCCAGCCCACTTTCAACCACACACTCAGTAACTTCCGGCCAAAGATGGCCAGTCACATCTCTTATTCCTTGCTTACCTTGTACTTCTACACAAGTGAATACTTTTCATGTCAACAGAGGGCAGTGCATCTGTGGGAAGTACCAGTCCATCAGCATCAGTCACAGTAGCAGCCAATACTTCTCCATCAACTGATACAACATCTAACTTGGTATCTGCAGCACTCTCAACTTTCGGCGAAACAGTGACATCAACAGAGAGTGTTTCATCAGCATCATCTACAGCAAATGAAGTTACATCTACTGGATCAACATCTCACTCAGTATCTCCAACATCTTCAGAAACAGCCACAACTGTTTTTTCATCTACTTCCCTGACCCCAGGTATGTAGCAGAATGTAGCACGTTATCACCGTCTACAACAAACATTTCTTGTACGTTATCTACAGAAGCGAGTACGGCTACATGAAGTGTGTCATTCTATAGCTCACTTTCAACCACACACTCAGTAACAATGCCAATCACATCTCTTACTGATTGCACAGCTAATATTTCAAAACAAAGTGATTCTTCCTTCCCATCAACAGAGAGAAGTACATCTGTGGAAAGTACCACCACATTAGCATCTTCTGCAGAGACATCAACACAGAATGCTCCCTCATCACCATCTACAGCAAATGAGAATATATTGACTGGGTCAACAACCAACTCAATATCTTCAGCACTCTCAACCACCAGCCAACCAGTAACATCAACAGTGACTGATTCTTCATCGCCATCTACAACAAATCAAGGTAAGCGTCTACTGAGTCAATATCTAACTCAGTATCTTCAACATCCTCAGAAACAGCCAATCCTGTTTCTTCATCTACTGTCCTAAACTCAGGTGTATCCTAAATAGTTTAGTCAAACTATAGCCAAATATTGTCAACTGAATTAACAGACAGCGCTACCTTATCCCCATTTACACAACGAGCAAGCAGCTCTACACCAACTGTGTTATCGGTGTCAGTAACGGTAGTGGCTACAGGTACAATAACTATTTCCACATCTAGTGCTTTAAGCTCATCCCAAGCATTGACAAGTGAAACAACAGAAAGTAGCACTTTATCACCAACTACAAAAGCAATTGCTTTTAGATTATCTACAGAAGAGAGTAGTGCTACATCAAGAGAATCTTTCTCCAGATCACTTTAATCCACACACTCCGTAGTAGCACCCGTTACTTCTCTTACTGCTAATTTCCTCTAATTTTCTGATTAATACCCTGCCCAATACTGTAACTGCTGTTTGAGGGTCTATAAACTACTCCCACTTGTGTTTTCTGCCCCTTGTTGTTCCACTACATCAATATATTTCAGAGGAAAACTGTTGGAAAAAAGGAGAGGGGGAGGAGTGGGTTATTAACTCTGCAAGCCAACACCTTGACGGGTAGGGTGGTCCTAGCTGGACAAGAGTGGGAAAGCTTATCAGACACTGATATCAATGGCAAACTATGTGGCTTTAGCTGATGAGACTCCAGCTGTAGAGTAAATACTCTTGCGTCCCCAAACCTTGGCTCTTACCAATCTGCGTCTAATAATTTCTGGAATTAGATGAGTAGGATGTGTCTCTCCAGGGAGAGAGTGCGCATTGCATTCCAATAATCTATCTCTGGGATTTTCATGTATAGGTGGGATGCATGGAAATCTCAGTTTGGTTTGGATACTTTGGAAGCATGGTGATGGGTGTCAGAAACCCAACTGACCAAACAAAAGGGGTATTGGAGACACAAATAGCGGAAATGGAGGTTTGTGGGGAATATAAACACTGGCGTGGAATAATAGGCCAAATAGCCTGTTTCAGTGCTTGTAATTCTATGTAAAAGTTAATTGTCCTTTATTCTCTCTCCGTTATTGTGACTACTGTTCTCCCAACAGGCAGCACTGGTTTAACAACAACTGTGGAATCAACAAGTACCTCCAATGGAAATCCTACTGGTACTGACACGTCCACTGGGAGCAGCTCCACCTCAACCAAAAATTCAGGCCCCACCACAACAAATCCTACTGTCGTTACCAGCACCACTCTCAACATCGCTCCACATGGCACCATCACAACCACAACCCCCACAACCACAACGACCCCCACCACCACAACCGCCGTCATCCCAACTCCCACCACCACAACCACAACCCCCACAACCACAACGACCCCCACCACCACAACCGCCGTCATCCCAACCCCCACCACCACAACCACAACCCCCACCACAACCACCACCATAACAACCCCCACCGCCCCCACAACACACACCACCCCCAACCACCACAACCCCCGCCACCACGACCACAACTCCCACAACCCCCACCACCACAACCCCCACCACCACCACAACCACCACAACTGTTGCTGTTATTGGGACTTGTGGTAAGTAACTTGGATATGGTTGTGTATATTACAAACCCACAAAAGTATTCTTTATTAAACCCAGGGACTCTGGCCTGCTTCTGCCGCCTGCCCACCATCAGCGATCGAGCCTTCTGACTTTCTGCCCTACACTCTTTGGAACTCCTATCCCTCAGTCACTCCGCCTCATCCCCGCACCTCTTCCTTGCCTCCTTCAAGGGCCTTCCTCTTCAACCAGGCCTTTTGTCACCCTCTTACTCCACCCCCTTGCCCTCCACACCTCCTGATCCCAACCCCCAGCTCTGGTACAAATCCTTGACTATCCAGCACCTTGGGAAGTCCTCCCGATGTGAAAGGCACTGTAAAAATCTCATTTATTATTGTTGTTGTTGTTTTCAGAAACCCTTAGTTTGAAGAGTTGAGGTTTAGGTAGGAATTTAACACAGAAAGTGCGTGCAAGCATGCGAGTGTGTACATGGATGAGACAGCGTGAGGGAGGGAGAGAGTTCCAGAAGTTAGGGGCATAGAGGTTGGGGGGAGCACTCAGCAAGCCTGAGTAGCTGAGTAAGGGAGAAGTGTGGGTGAGCGAAGGAGTAATCCAACCTTTCTATTGTGTTTTGCAGTGCCGCTGGTGTTCATCCGCATCAATTTAGTGCAAGTGATAAGTGTAGAAATAAAAGTAAGTTGGCAACATGAGGATATGAACTTGAATCCCAGTTATAACGCCGCCATCTTCGTCAGTGGCACCGAGCAACCAATTGAAACAATTGAAACGAAAGAGAGAAGCGCGACGTTCCAAAACCTGGAGCCTGACACAGTTTACGAGATCCGCACGTTAACAACCACATGCGATATGACGCAGTCAATAACCACTGGCAAAGTTCGGACAAGTAAGTCGTAGAGACACTGGTGGAGAGGGGAGGGGAGGGATATTATGGGGAGGGGTGGAGAGAGGAGGATGACGAGGAGGAGGTGAAAACCAATCCCCTGCTTGGTGACAATCCAAGATAATGAAGACCAGGGCTCATCGATCAGATTTGGACACAACCATTATTTAGGAGTTTGGGTAGAGAGTTTGGGATGCCACGATATTTCAAGACACTGTAGGATGTCGTGGGCTGTGCCCGGAAAACAAAACTTGTACAGCGGTTTCAACAATAAAAAAGGAAAGGTTTAGTTTGAAAAGGAAGATCTCTCTTTTTACATCCGTCTTCTCCAGCTTTATACTGATGCTTAGCTTGTGGCTGATGCCCAATTATCACTTAAGGCCTGAACTCCAGACAAGTCTGATTGGAGTCAAGCTCTTGTTAGCTGCCTGGATTGAGGCACTTTTCAAACGAGTCACAAAAAAACAACAAACTCCTTTGTACATACATTGAGCGTCAATATCTGCAGAAAACAGTGACAACACAATGTCACTTCAATAAGGAATATGAAATGTTTATGATTCATGCAATTTGGACTCACTCTTTCACCTCATACTTCCTGATACTCCCAGACATTTGAGTGGGAAGGAGGGTAGCAGTGGGGGTGGGAAACACGAAATTCCACCTAGACTTAGTTTGTCAGTCCATAGGGATTCTCCTATTGGCCAGAACATCTATAGGAGTGGAACTATCATTCCTTATTTTACATTCCTTATTTAATAATAATAATCCTTGCATTTGATATAGCACCCACTCAAGCCATTGAGGTGTCTCAAAGCCATTCACAGAATGCACTGTAAAGTGAAATGCCTGTATATGTTGGTGGGTAAACTGCAGTAGCCAATTGCGCTCAGCAATATCTTACAAACAGTCATGGATTTAGTGGCCAAATTATTATTATTATTGCATATTTTTAAAAAATTTGAAGTGATTATTATCTCTTGGAAAACTGATCCACGAATCAACTAACAACTGCGTACCTACTTACTGCGAGGTAAACAATGGGATATTGGTAAAATTTGTTTTGAAATATCCTGGCGCCTGTTATCCTAGGTGATGATTATCACAGCACACAGTGTGTTCTCTACCCCACGGGGGTTTGCAGCAGTGTGAGTGCAGTGTCTACCTCATGCTTTTCCCAATCAAATAACCAGTCTCTGTTTCTTTGGTACATTACAGCGGGCAAGGTGTTGGAGGCACAAACAAGAATTACAAATGAGCCTTTCATCGAGGACTACAGAAACTCAAGTAGTGCAAAATACAAAGAATTAAGCATGAAACTTATAAATGAGGTAAGGCCATTCATCACACTTAAATAACAATGCTTGCATTTAATACAGCGCCTTACAGTTCTGACATTGGAGTTCCCTTCACTCAGCAGCCTGCTTCAACACCCCTGCCCTATCCACCGCACTATCGACAGGATGGGAGCTTTCAGTTCTACCGCCCTCCCCCCACTTGGAACTCTCAATCCACGACTGGTTGTGGGACGCTGCAATTGGCTGCCCTGTTTTGCCCACAGAATACACCATCAATCCACTTTCCAGTCTATCCTGTGAAGAGCATTGAGATGTCTCAACGATGTGATAAGGCGCTATATCGAATGCAAGGATTATTATTGTTAAGATTATTGAACTGCATCCCTCTGACTCGCTCCCTCCAAATCCAATAACCGGCCTTTGCCCCATATCCCTTGATATCCTGACCTAACAAATATCTATCCACCTCAGTCTTAAAAACCTGAATGGATCCAGCCATAATCCACAGCCTTTTGGGGGAGAGAGTTCCAGAATTCCACTGCCCTCTGTGTGAAAAAATGCTTCCTGATTGCACTCCTAAATGGCCAAGCTCTAATTTTAAGATGATGCCCCTTGTTCTGGATTCCCCAACCAGAGGAAACAGTATCTCTGTCGTTGTCCTGTCACGTGCCTTTATTATTTTAAAACCTCAATCAGATCACCCATGAACCTTTGAATCTTAGCATTTCTTTTTGCAAGTGAACCCAATCTGCGGCTTCTTTCCCAGCAACGTATAACAGTCTGATTTGGGTTCTTTCAGATCGAGAAAGGACTGAGCAATTTGGTTCGGATTTTGCTTAGTGCAAAACTTCTGTTCATCAGGATTAGTTCTTTAACTGAAGGAAGTGTGGTGGTGAATTTTAGCATTGTGGCAAATGAAGATGTAAATGTCACTAACAGCGAAATTAAGGAAACATTCATTGATGCATTAAACAAGAGTACAGTGTTAGATTTCGACTTGACAAACACCAGCATATCAGGTAAGTGTAGTAGGTAGGTTCAGCGCTCCGAAACTCTACCCTACTGTTGTTATAGCTAAGAAGCATGACCACATGTCTTAGAGGCTTGACACTTAGGGGGTAAAATACCCCAAAATGGGGGTGAGCATCATTCCTTTACTCGCGGTGTTGTCTTCCATCCTTCCTTCTTTCCTTTGTTCCTATCTCCCTCCCTCCCTTCTTTCTTGGGAGCTGTGAGGCAGAGGGATTTGAGACCATTTTCTGGTGAGAATCTCATCACTCTGTCTGTGGATTTTACATTACAGAAAGAGACAGCTGCACAACGGGTACCAATGACTGCTCAGGTAACGCAACATGTATAAGACAGAATTCAACCTACACATGCAAGTGCAAGGCTGGATTTAATGACACAAGCCCCAACTTCCCGGGAAGAATGTGTGAAGGTACAGTACATCTTGTGAAGCGCTTTGAGACATAATCCCAACGTGATATACGAAATATATCATAGTAAGTTTTGTAAACTGGGCATCTCCCAAAAAATCATTCCCACAAATATTTTAGCATACAATTTAGAAGAGTTCATAAAAGAAGACTTAAGCAATTTTACCGTTGTGGTTAGAGCACTCCCCTCGCAAGCATTAGGCTGGGCAAAACCCGAAGCGAGTTTCCTTACTCCCCACGCCTCTGTTTGCCTGGCAGGAAGTAGGGACACGGTTGTTAATTGATTCGTGGATTGCTTTGCAGAGGTAATAATCCCTCCCCCACAAAAAAAATTTGGTTACTCAATCCACAACTGTTTGTGGGACACTGTTTGTTGGACACTGCTGAGCGTAATTGGCAATTCACTTTACTATATTCTGCAAAGCAACAACCTGATAAGGCGTTATATTAAATGCAAGGATTATTGTCATTATTAGAAATGCATTAAGACATTTGGTCTTCTGTCCTTCGACATTTCCAGCAATCCAAAATACAACACTCAACACAACCCAAACCTCAAGCACAAAGCGAAGCACAACCCCAACGTCAACCACGGCACGGCCTGAGCAATCAGATAGTCCTGGATGGAGAGTGACCGTAATAGTACTTGGATGCCTCCTGGGTGCAGCTCTGTTGATTGCCTTAGTGGTAGCACTTGCCTTATTCTGCATTAAGATGAAACGTGGGAAATTCAGTTTGAAGAATTCAGACATGCTACAGAAGTTCAGTTATAAGAACTTGTAGAGTGTTACGCAGATCACTAGCCCTCAAATTACGCAGTCGCTAACACTTGATGGTAAATTCCTATTAAGATGCCCTTCTGATCTGAAAGGGGTTATATCAATTTAGGGATTATTATCTATATTCTATCTTCATATTTGGTATAATCAACTATTTTTCATTTTGCCCAATTTACTGGAGGGAGAATGTTGGAAGAGGTTCTGGACCTATTGGCAAAGGATTTTGGCCATTTTAGTGCGAAACACTGGCCAGCACATGGGAAGCGAGCAGCTGGTTGCTTGTGCACAAATTAATGCTTTAATATAGTCCATTGTAACGGGGCTGCACTGTGTATCGGGTACAACTTACGGTGTTTCTTAAAATTAGTGTCATTTGAACTGACCAATCAAAATGATGTGTTCACTTGACATTTCTTTAGTTGATCGCTGTCCAGTAAAATGCTTTCTTTTCAATAATATCCACGGGTGGGATAATTACACATGAAGAAATAAGATCCAATGTGCGGTAAAGTACAGTAAGCTTACACCATGATAAAAGCGGGCTTATCATAACTTGACAAGGGTACAGGCACTTAACTTTAAGATTTAAATGTTAGTGATAGAAATTGCCTGAAGTAAAATTGCGCTTCTTAAACATTTCCCTTTTATGTAGGGTAGGGTGAGAAATAAATAATATATATGTGTGTGTGTGTTTGAAGAGTGCTGTATGGAATGACCTTGGGCTGATGAGCAAATCCAAGTGACGTTACGGCCACTGTTGAATTTTATTGTAACACATCTTTACCTCCTTTGTTTATCCCAACAATTTACTCTCTCATGGGGAAAAATATTTTCATAAAGTCTACCTTACTGTAGTCCAGAGAGACGTGAACTTTTACATGGTCTTCCACCTGTGAGAACCGCTTAGGTCTTAAAATTCAAGATTGGTGCAGAACCTTGGCAAATTTTATTTAGCATAAAGAGGAACTCAATTGCTAGGCAGCTCACATTTCTGAGGGCAACGATAATAAT